CGGGGCTTCGATGTTGCTTCGGGCGTTCGCTGGGGCTGACCCGAGCGAAGCGTTTGCAAACATGTGCTCCACAGCCGTGGAAGAGCCGCTCGTTCTGAAAGTCTGTGCCTCCCCTCAACCGAACGGCCGTGGGCAAGGCCCCTGCTCGCGAGCAGATGGCTCCGAACCGTGGGTGAACACTTGGCGAGAACCTCCGGACACGAACAGAGCCTTGTCCGCCCTTCCGAACACGTCACAGGGCTCGTGCTCGAGGATCGGGAGATCGAAGCGAAGGACTCGGGCATCCAAAACGTACGTAAAGCAGCAGGGCGGAGGTGCTTCGCCGCCGTCGGCCTCCCGGGGGCCCTCTCTGGGCCCCGGGGCCGCAGGGACTTCCGAGGACCTCGTCTTGAAGAAGTCAAGACTTGGAGGCCTGGAGATTGGCACCAACACCAGCACAGGGCGTTCGCCTCCACATGGGGAAGATGACCTCAGATTTCGGCGTTGGTGGTAATATTTCGGTCACCTCGAAGCCAGAATATGACCACCATCACCGAGATCGGGATCGTCCTCCCTCGGTGGAGGCACACCGCCGATCTTGGTGTTGTTGTCAACCTCTAGGCCTGCGAAAGACATCGAGGCTCTTGGGGTCGGGGCTGTCGAGGATCGAGGGACACCGTGACCACTCCACCGGCAGCAAACGTCCATGCGCTACTCCTCTCGAGAATGCTGCTGCCGGCGTGCGCCGCCACGCTACCGTGCACGAGCATCGCAAGCTCGCGAAAGAGGGAACGAGGCCAAGGAGGAGGAGGAGGAGGAGGAGGGAGAGGAGAGTGAGCCAGGGCGCGCAGAAGGGAACGAGGATCAAGGGATCGAATGATCGAGGTTTTAGAGGATCGAGGCTTTCGAGCTGTTTGAGGGCCGAGAAGTCGAGGATCGATGGTCGAGGGATCAAGGGATGATCGAGGATCGAGGTTGTCGGGATCGATGGGAACGGTCCGAGGATCGAGGGCCGAGGTTTTCGAAGGTCGAGGATCGAGCACTCGAGGATTTGAGGACTGAGGATCGAGGCTCCATGATCTAAGATTCGAGGATCGCAGACTCGAGCAGCAATCGGGGACGATGTCGAGGAACGGGATCGAGGTCGAGGTGACGGACCGGGAATCGAGATGTAAGGGCGCAGATTTGCCTCTTGTGGGCCTGCGGGTGCCACGATGATGAGGAGGAGGAAGTCGAGATCTGGGGGCTGGACGCGGGGAGAGAGCAGGGCAGCGAGCTGGACGTCGACTCCGTCTCGCTGGCGCTCTGGCTCCAGGCCTCCTGACAGAGGCCGGCCGCGCGGGCTGGCCTGCGCCCGAGGGCGCGGCGGACATGGGCTGCGGCTCCAGCCTGAGCCGCGACGTGGAGGAAAGGTTCCTGTCGACTTGGTAGCGGAGCCTCGGTCCACGACTGGGCTGGGGCTCTGGCGCTGCCGCTGCGCAGGAGATCGCCGAGGCGCTCTACGAGACGAGGGTGGTGCTCACCGAGACTGAGTGCAACACCTTCGAGGCTACGAACGAGGCTTCCTTGCCGGATAGCTTCGGCACGAAGGAGACCATCCTCAGTTTCAGCGTGAACAGCTCCACGCTGGACAACACCATCGGGGGCCAGTCACGTCAGCTACTAAGCGGTCGACAAGATGGTGCTTCTGCAATTGGAGGTGATCGGTTCCCTGAAGGTACCACCGGCATGGAGTCCAGACCAGGCACGGTCGTATCCCCTCAGGTTCTGGCTCCAAAACGTGGCGATGTGAGCGGCGGCAGCTGCACGTGAGGTGCTGCCAAAGCGGCAAGGCTCAGCCGTGGCTCTGCGGCTCGGCGGCGCAGCGAGGTCCCTGGCGCGGGAGATCCCTGGAGACCAGTTGCGAGACGGGGTCTTCGCGGACCCCAGCGACGGCAACGGCGCGAGGCAGCTCACGGGGCTTCAGCTGCTGCTGCTGCTGGTCCTTTCCCGCTCTTTCGCAACGCTGGGCAATGAGAGCGAGCTTCGGGCGACGAACGACCTCCTCGGATTTCACAGGAAGGGCAACGAGGACATAGACCAGACGCTGTCCAGGTTCGAAGGCGTTCGGCGCCGAGCTTCGACGCTAGGCAACTTCAACTTGGGGCCGCAGGGCTACGCTTGGACGCTGCTGAACGCACTGAATTGCAGTCACCAAGAGTGGAACGAATTTCTGATCCACTTCAGAGGCCACCTTCCGGGGACGGGGCAGCAATACAACGATCTCGTCGAATGCATCAGACCCCACGGACACGTCCTCGAGCACGGCCCCATGGCCATCGACAGGAACAGCGGCATGGGCACGCAAGGTGGTCATTTCTTGTTTCCGACCTTCGACTTCGGCAGCGGAAGAGGAATGCACGAGGACAGCCAGGGCGGCAGCCTGGGCTTCGGCACTGGAGCTGGCCTGGCGGCCACCAGGACGTTCACGGCAGCATCGGGTGCTCCGAGCTCAGGCTCGGCTCTCTCGAGCTCGTGGACGCCCACATCACCGACCCCAGACCCCTGGGACGCCCACCTGGGCAGTGAGTACGGCGACGAGAGCGACACGGACACCGATGACGACGTCGGCGAGACCCTCGACGGCTGGGACGTCCAGGGCAAGATCGGCCAGGACGACGACGTTATCCAGCAGCATCTGTTTTCAGAACTACGCTTTCCACCAGAAGCGCTGGCAACGCTCCACAGGACGGCCTACGAGGTACCATCGCTTTGGCAAGGGCTCGCTGATCCCATTCCGAGGTGCCCTCGGATCGCGAGGACACGGCGGTGATCAAGGGCATCACCACGAAGGCAAGCGAAAGCCCGTCGGCAGAGATGTGGCAAAGGTGATGAGGTGCCCGACGAGGGGCCGCGAGAGTGAGCTCCAGCTGGTCGAGGACTGTCCGCGCGCACATAGCTCGGTGCCGCCTCCCGGCGCAGCGCCCGCACCGGCAATAGGGCGAGAACGGCCCTGGCGCCGCCGGGACACCGCCGAGCGGGCGGGCTTCACGCGACCCGCCCCCCCGAGCGGCGCCCCGCTCGGGCCGTGGGCGACGCCAGGACGGGTCCAGATCACCAGGCAGAACACGGGGCGGTGCTGGCGGGAGCAGGAGGTCCACAGGGCGGGCACGCGCGGCGCTCCGGAAGGATCACACATTATTATTCACCTGCGCCCCACACTGGCCCGCGGCCGCGCGCGCCGGGTTGGGCCGCTCGCTCGCCCGCGCACCTGCGATCGCACGCGGCGGCGGGGGCGCGCGTCGCTGCGCCCCCCCCCCCCCCTGCACGCGCGCCCGGCACGACCCGTCTGCTCGGCATGCCCGCCCGCGACACGCGCGCGCGCGCGGCGCCCAGCGCTCCGCGTGCGCGCGCCGCGCGCTGAGGCACCTACGGTATTTCTGTGACCATCCAATGCGTCGCCTGCAAATCCGCCACAAAAATAGCCTGGCCATCTCCTGGCGCGGCGTCCGCACCGGCATAGGGCGAGAACGGACATGGCGCAGCCAGGACTGCGCCGAGCGGGCGGCGGCGGCGGTTGACGCGAACCGCCACCGAACGCCGCCCAATGCTTCGCGGTTCCCCGCCGCGACGCCCGGACAGATAAGGCCCTCGAGACCCTCTTCGACTTCATCTGGACGGCCTGGATACAGATGTTCGGTCCCATGGCGGTGCTGACGGTCGACGGCGAAGGAGCACTTGCAGCAGAAGAGTCTGGAGTTGCTCTACGTAGGATGAGCACCACGCGGAAGCTCAAGGCGCCAGGTCAGCATGCTCAAGTGGTGGAGCGACATCAAGAGAGATTATGAGGAGGCAGTTCCACTTGATCGATACGCAATGTCGAGAGAACGACATCAAGCTGCCCTCCGCCCAGAAGCTGGCAGAGGCGGTCTGCGCGAAGGACGCCTTCCTGACGATCGGCGAGGGCACACCCTACAAGGCGCTGTACGGCAGAGTGCCCATGATGCTCAGGGACTTCGACAGAAGTGGCGCCCAGGAGATCGATGACGAGGACAGCCTGGCCATGTGTCGGCACGCGCAGAGGTTGCGAGAGATCGCGACGACGTCGATCATCGAGGCCACAGCTCAAGCAAGAATGGAGAGGGCTTCCAAGGCCAGGTCGGCCCCCGTGCTGGAGGATCTGAAGCTCGAGGTCGGTGACCTGGTCGACTCCTACAAGCCCGGCAAGGCCCCGAAGGATGTGCCGAACCGGAAGGGCCCAGCTACGGTGGTGTCGGCGGCGGCGCCTGAGACAGGCACGCTCACCATCCAGTGGCAGCACAGAGACCTCGCGATTAGGGCCACGGACGTGAGGAGGGCTATCTTGTTCTCCTACGCCGTGGCGTTCGTGGCGACGGAGAACGACCCGGCTCAGCTGCTTATCGATTTGGTGCACGACCTTAACGACGGCTTCGAGCACCTGGGCTGGGCAACCACGGCGAATGGCTGAGCGCTGACGAAGACATCGCGGAAATACCCCAAGGTCGTGGCGGCGATGTTGCAGGTAGCCTCTTGTGATCTTCATCTCAACGGAGTTTCAGCGGCTCGAGTTTGGAAAAGAGTACCTACGCTGCCAGGACTGTACGACTTTGAGTACTATGTGTTGGTGGATACCCAAGCGGCAGAATAAGGAGGACACCAGGATTGAGGCCATGATTATGGAGAATGAGCAGCATCGGAACACCTCAGTCTCAGAGACGGATATTTGGGGACAGGGACTGGAGCGCCACGTTTTTCATGCAATTTCTGTCCGTGAAGCTTGACGCGCTGGATATACTTCAAGTGCAGGCGCCTGAGGTGCCACATGTTGGAGGGCCTCACCTGCCGGGAGTGGACGCCTGGCGTCGAGAGCACCGCTTGATGCCCAAGAGGCCACGTTCAGCGGGATCCCAGGAGTCCGAGAACCCCAGGAAGCACGTGGCAAGACGCTTGGAAGATGATCCACCAGAGCCACCTCCGGCGCCTCCTCCAGGACTCCCGCCGCCTCTCGAGCCGTGCCCGAGGAGACCTCAGAGGCGGATCCAGAAGTCGATGGGATGGAGGAGCTATTTTCGACGGAAGCGCTGTGGGCTACCGCCAAAGAGGGGAAGTATGAGATCGAGAAGGCCGACATCATGGAGCTGACGAGCGATCTACCTGAGGCGCGCGACACAACGGCGCTCGGACGGAGTGAAGTGATCTCAGATTACGACGTGATGGAGGCTTGAATCACCCAGGAGACGAACTGCGGCAGAGCTACGGCGGAGATTGTGGAGTCTCTGCAACCCGAGAATCTGATGCAGGTTGGCTTCGCGGCGGAAGCGTGGAAGATGCTGAGCGAAACTCTGCCGTGGGGGGATCCAAGACACGAGAATGACGTGGTCGTGCTGAGCTCATACGAGGACGGCACCGCGAAGGCGGTCATCGAGAGAGACGACAGCATCTTGACGCCGGCCGAGAAGATCGAACATCGTGAAGCCCTTCGAGCAGCTCTTCTGAAGCAGCTACGTCAGTGGGCTGGCTTCATGGCCATGTCGAGGACCAGCTGGAGAGGTGCCAAGAACCTCGTCGACGCGAAGTGGGTAGATGAGTGGAAGTGGACGCAAGCATCGGATGGCACTGCGACGAGAATCATACGCAGCAGGTTGACGGTAAGAGGCTTCAAGGATCGGCACAAGGACGAGGTGAAGATGTTCACCGGCACTAGCGCGCGATGGGGCCAGAGGATGGTGAACATTCTGGCGGCTCAGCACCAGTGGAAGTTGTGCAGTGGGGATAACTCTTCGGCGATCTTGCAAGGAATGACATTTGAGGAAGTGGTGAAGCTGTTGAATGAACCTATTCGGGACATATGTTTTGAGTCCCCGAAAGGATCCGGCGAGCTGTTGTGTGAGGCCGAAGGCTTCGAGGGTATCAACAGCATCTTGGAGGTTCTCCACATGGAGAAGGGCGGCTTTGGACTGAACGATGCTCCACGGCTCTTCGGTCTTAGCCGCGATCAGGTGTTGTTATCCATTGGACTGCGGGCCACGCACGCGGATCCGCAGCTCTGGCTGAAGCATGAGAGCAGAGTATTGGTGATGGTGGCATCGACGCACCTGCACGACTTGAAGTACGCCGGCCGTGACAAGGCCACGTCCGAGCTGGTGCGGGCGCTGGAAGCAGTGTTCGGGAAGATGACCATGCAGGAGAAGAAGTTCAAACACTGCGGTCTGCGCCACCGACAGCTGGAGGACATGAGCATCGAGGTGAACCAGACGGAATACATCAAGAACCAGAACTGCATCGACGAGAAGGAGCTGCAGGGCATGGCAGATGACGCGGAACCTCCGGGAAGGCACGTCTCCTTCCCTTCTTGGAGCCATCGCGTGGTGTATCATGACGAGAGTGGACATCTGCATCTATGTTGCTGCGCTCCAGAGGCATGGCAAGAGTCCCAGAGTCGGCCACATCAAGAAGATGAACATATTGCTGCGATATGTGAAAGAGAATCCGCTGGTTCTCATGTCTCATAAGCTATCGCTGCCAGTGAAATTGGTCACGGTCGGAGATGCAGCGTTTCGGCGAGAACCAGATGATAAAGGACTAGCCATGCGAGGGGCAGTGCACTTGTTGGTGGATGATGGAGAAGGCCCTGGAGGTAAATGCAATATTCTGGAATATTACGCACGAAAGCAGGCCCACGTTGTCCGCAGCACGTGGGGAGCCGAGTTGTCTCAGCTATTGGATGGATGTGACTATCTTTCGAAGTTTGCGTGGATGCGCGGAGCGTATTCACCGGTATCACAGCGGAGCAAGTTCGGAGTCCAGCAGAGCGTCACACGTTATATCACGCCCAGTGGGTCAGAGAATTGCTGGATCGATCGGTCTTGCGTAAGTTGTGGTGGATCGACACGCGAGATTGCACTGAGGTGCGTCTCACGCGGATGGTGGAGATTGGAACATGAGGCGAAAGCATGGAGATCGAGTGGACGTGTGCTCCAGAAGTTACCTTCAATTGAGCACTGCCTATTGGTCTTCGGTGGCGTGGGACCACGCTGCATTCATATGTGGTGGACCTTCGTGCGGAGACAGGAGGTTCACAGGTCATGTGA